TGCATTACTGTTTTACAATCTTTTTCTATCGCACTCTATTTAATACTTCGTAAATTTAAATTATATTGAGTCTATTATAACAAAAAAAAAAAAAAAAAAAATTAAGCAATTCGCTGAATAAAAACTTTACAAAAAATTCGGTAACATAATAGGGACAGTAAGCGTTTATTTAACCATTCAATTTTTTCTATGAAAGTATTTTATTTCAATACTTTGCTTTAATATCATATTTATAAATTATTTAATTTTTTCTATTATTTGAATATGTATATTAATTTATACATTTGAGAGTGTTTATATTCAAGTGTGTAAAATAGTGTACATATTAAAATAATAATAATAATAATGTTGCAGTGAGAAAACATGAAATATTAATTAATTTGCATAGAACTAACTCTTAAAAGTACTTTTCTCAAGATATAGCTTATACTCCTGCTCCATATATGTTTTAGCCCTTTATGTCAATAGCCACCCCTGAGCCACTGAGAGTTCATTGTTATGGGTCGGCAATGCCCAAACTAACCTTTATTCAACAGATATAAAGAAAAAAGTAAAACCTGTCAAAATGTTATTCCCATTTTCTTTTTAATTTAACGCTCATTTTCGAGCCAAAACGCAATGCAACCGAACCTCCGACCGAGCACACAGCAACCCCTCCAGCAAAGTGTTAATGTCTAAATTGCTTTTCTTTTCTTTTCTTTTTTTGTGGCTGTTGCTGCTGCTATTGTATTATTCGTTTGGGTTCGCTTCGGCGTGGCTCTGTAACCCTGCGCAGTGTTCAGCATTTCCATTTCCAAACATTTCGACTTGTGTTTTTGCGGTTACGCTGTTTATTTTTCAATTGAGGTTTTGACGCAATTCCGTCAATGGAGCTGCCAATGTTTTATTTATGCCACCCCCTGGCTGAATTGCGCCCGAAACGATGAGAGTGTGTGCGTATGTGTGTGTTAGGGCATTGTAACCCCATCAGCTGACTTGTATATAGTATGTGAAATGGAATCTTAGACTCACCTTCATCAGCCGTCGCCGGGTGCTGTTCGCCAAGGCAGCCGGGCAGGTTCAGGGCGAGGGCGATGCCAACTAGGGCGACCCACAGGACTGGCAAGCAGGACGACTCCTTGCCGCTGTTGTTRTTGCAATAGTTGCTCCTATTGTTGTTGTTGGTGTTTTGATAGCAGTTCTTGTTCTTTTTCGTTGTGCACATCGTGGCAATTGCGCGCTGCGGCATTTCGCAGAGTGGGGGCAGGTGCTCGATCTATTATAATTTTAACTTTGATATTGGCTGCCTTATTTATGCAGTTAGCAGTGGGTGTTGGGTGGCTGTTGGCTGTTGGCTGTTGGCCCCACTCACCTGGCCCCGTCGAACCGTGGAAAAGTGCTTTGCACGTTTCGCGTTGTCAGCGCTTAAAGTTTTCGCGTTGCGTTTGGTAATTTCGCGCTTTTCATAAGTATTTCATTTCGCCGGGGAGCTTTTCCGAGTTCGCATTTGATATTTGTATATTGTTCATTGTATTGCATTTGTATGCATCTCTCTCTCTCTCTCTCACACACCGTCTCTGTGGCTCTCTCTCTATTCTTGTCTCTTTCGCACACTAGCCACAGTTTGTTTTTCGCTCTATAAATGTGGTTTTTCGTGTTGTTTCAGTTTGATTTGATTTGCATTTGGTCTCTGCCATAGCCATGCGCCACTGTAAATAGAAAATGGAGAATTTTCACGAATTAGTTTTCATTTATGCATAACAACAAAAACAGCTACAACAGCAGCCAAATATTGAATTGCAATTGAATTGAATCATTTCTATTGCCATGTTGTGGCTTGCAAAGAATTTCGATCGTTTTTCTTTTGCTAGATTATTAAACATTTTGTTGCCACGACTCGAGCGGATTATTCTCGACAACATTTTTGCATGTTGTTTTAATCTATCTCTCTAAGCCGATTTGCGAAAGTGCAGCAAAACATTTCAAATTTTTGTTAGATGATATATTTTTAACCAAAAATATTTCTAATTACAAAATATGAACCAACAAACATGTTTATACACAATTATTTAAAGGTATTTAATTTGATTTATATACGATTACTTAAAGAGATTTTATTTGCCATAATATATGTGATACCTAATGAAATTCGCTTGCTTCCCTTTGCCTCTCATTTTTCCACTGCCTTTCCATCAAATACCATCTACGTACACACACACACACACATATTCTTGGCCAACATATTTTAGAGTAAACCTGCAACAACAAAGAGTTAAGCACGCACATCAGCCCAGGGGAGAGACGAGATGCCTTTGGCATTGGGCAGCAAGGCTGTGGAGAGGTTTTGCCTTTAGTAAAAATAACTCATTTGGAATGCATGGCCTCTGCCGAAGACTTAAGTAATCATTTTGATGGCAACTATTTAAATATTAAAAATGCCTGAAAGCGGTTTCAATGCTGGACAGGCACAGCCTGGGAGCAATATGGCTGATAGATTACCGTGCCCACCTCGGAGAGCTGCCAAGTGGCCAGGTTGCAGTTGGTCAGCTGCTGCTGGGCCCTCGGGCGAGGTAAGCAATAAATAAATAAATATTTATTTTAATATTAAACAACAAGAATGCTGAGCTCTCGCTGGGGGTTTAATGCGAAAGGAGCATTTTCCTGAAGCTTTCAACATGACAAAACAAATTGACCTCAATACATTTTTGTTCTTGTTTTGTTGTTGTTGTTGTTTTTTTTTTTTTTTTGTGTAACAAATAACTCAGGATTGTCGTGAAGTCGACCAAAAAAGGTCGTAAATGTAACCAAATAAAAGCGCACAGGGTGAGCGCAACTTATTCACAACTTGCACGCACACACAGACACATTGGGGGGCTGTCATTCACAGTGAAAGTCTCGGTTGTGTGGCCAGGTGAAATATTGCTTAATATGAAGTAAATACAAAGATTTAAGTAGCAATCAGGCTGCAGCGAGCAGCGAGCAGCGAGCGTTTCCCCTAGACTTGTTACGTATGTGCTCCACTTTATTTTTCCTGTTCTGCTTTCCGCAATTTCGCAAGATTTTCTTCTGGCCAAGCGGAGGGCTTCCAGCAATTCCTCAAATGCAAACACAAGTATATTCATACACCCACACACAGACACACTACTTTGACACTTTAACAGGTGAAGTGGGAACAAATAGACACAGGCCCGCTCGCACATGGCTCGGGGCAGAGATAGAGCTGGCTAACGTAATTGGAAAATATATTAACATGAAATGTACAACAAATAATATTTGACATCTATTGAGAGGGACACCCGTTAGTTCTCTGCTTCATTCTGCATCACTATCCTCGGAGTCGGACTCAGACTCATCTTCGGTGGAGTCGCCCTCATCTTCGTCTACAACCACAATCAACGGCTTGCCATATTTTCTCTCATAATAGGTAAACGATTGGCGGCAAACTGGACATCGACGATTATAGCGCACTATCTCACAATAGGCGTCCATACAATCAAAGCAAAAGGAATGCTTGCACCCGAGTATTACCTCGTTTTTCTTCGCCATCAGGCAGAAGGCGCAGCAGTCTAGCTCATCATTGATTGATTCCATTCTGTTTTCGATCTAAATATATTTTTTAGAATTTCGATTTTTCAGTTTTCGACGAATTTCGAAAAGCAACTGTTATATGAAATATTAAAAAAATCAATTGGAAAACTAGCTGGGATATTCGTCTAGACTATACCCTGAACCCCAAATGGTCCGCATGTGTAAATATATTTTTTATGGGGTATTTACTGCAGAAGAAGCCTATAAAATTTGTTGACTAAATAAAACCGGGTTCCTCAAGAAGAAAAATATTATTAATAATAAAATGAATAAATAGGGACATTCATCAACATTCAAAACCTTTCTGCTTCTACCAGCACCGTTACTTCACTGCTCACAAAAGTCTATTTAAAATAGCAGCTGATGATTTAGTTATTTTTAATTATTATTTAATTTAATTGCATTTGGATACAATGAGGCTCAAAAATTTGCACGAGTATGTGAATACACCTATTCGAAAATATATAAACAACTTGGCGCTGCATCTACGCGAATTGGGAATCGACTAAAATTTGTATTTAATAACTTTTGCGTTACTTAATGGATTACAATGAAATTTTCAGCATATGCTCTACATATTCAATTGCGTATATTCATTTTAGCGAAAATGTAAATTAAATTAATTTTCGTTAATTGTAGAGCCGGTACCCAAATTCCATAAAAAAAATTAAAATACATTAAATACATTAAAATTAAATACATTATTTACAGAATCTAGCCCGAAAGCCACAAAATATATTACCTATTAACTGGGCTGTAACATTTTTCTTGTCATTAATATTAATTGAGTGAAAAACAACAAGACGATTTCATGTACTGACTGACAAATACATAAGAGAAGTGTCACAGGGCGTTTATTTTTAGTTCTAACCTGCGCTGCGCTCCTGAGCACTGGCTGAGCCCACACTGAGTGTGTCAGAGGTGAACTCTACGTAGCAGTGGGAGCCAAAATAAAAGTAGCTGCCAGCTGGCAGTGGAAGGAAACTACCAACTACCAACTGGCAACTGGCAACTGGCAACTGGCTACAATGCATGAATTGCCATTCATAATATTAGCGCGTCGAGGCGATGACGAGGACAGCGAGGACGAGACACGTTGAGGCAAACAAAGCGCTTGAGCCATGTGCAAGTGTATTATGTATGTATATATATGTATATATATGTATGTATGGTACATATATTTGGTATACAGTGTCGTATATAGGCTGGCTGTTGGGCCCACAAACTACACGTGTACGCAAAGCAATCAACAAGCAGGATACGAGGCGAATGAGTAACATAAATAATAAAAATGAGAGTTGCTGGCGCAGTCACCTCCTTCACGAGCCTCCACTCACTGCTCCACCACTCACAGCATTCGCATGAATGATGTCTGAATGGTAAATGTGTGAGTGGCAGCCTGGCAGCCTACCAGGCACAAGGATATCTGAAGTGAATAGGCAGAGCGAGTCCTCGCAGTACGCTGCTTATTTATGCTCTGCCTATTGGTTCCACTTGAGACCCGAGACCTCAGAGCCCAAAGCACCGAGCATCGAGCACAGAGCACAGAGCTCCGACCTCAAACCAGAGACGTCCCGCCCGCATATTAGAATCTAGCGCAAATAGAAAATATTTATGTATTATGCAAAGCAAAGCGCGTGGTACATTTGGTCTGGAGACGTTGCCGAATAATGGAAACCTGTTGGCTGAAAATCTAATTTTCATGCACGCACCGAGGCCAAGGCAGCCCCCATGAATCGCGCCACGTGTAAATTCAAGCGATCCGAGACAGGTCTCTGGCACACTTCAAACTCCCACGTAGCACAGCCACAGGCTGGCACATAACTCAAAGGGCGCGGCAGACGCTGGCGGTTAGAGCCTTCACATGGGTATTTAATTTGGGGCTCACAAGCAGGATACGTTGCGGGCAGGTAAACGCAGGTGCCACACATTCGCCAGCACATTCAATGCGCATAGACAGAAGTCTAGCGAACGAAAGAGTCAAGAGAGATGGTCAATTGTTTATGGGCCTATTGTCGATTCGCCTGGCACTGGCAGAGGGCAAGGATTTCCCTGGGGAGCCCAATAAAATACTGAATAAATCGGGCAAATGGAAATCCCATTTTCCCCTTTATCTTACATTTCTTACTGCCGATGGATTGGGCCATGCATATAAGGCAAGGCCGAGCTGCCTGCATGGCTGACAGACTTTCTTTAAGCTGCTCAATTCATTTTGTTGATTTTCGGGTTCAGCTAGACAAACCCCCGCAAACAATCATGAAATTCTGCACGCCAAGCCAATTTGCATAAGTGATTTGCTGCTGCTGCTGCTGCTCCTACTTCGACTGTCTGTGGCTGTGTCTGTGCCTGTGCCTGTGCTGGGTGTTCCAGCTCGGTTCACATGATCTCTTCATTCACATCCTGGGGCGCATCAAATGCTGTCTTCCTTCATTGAGGTAAACTGCGTCAAAATAGAACGACGTGACAGGCGCCAACAAATTTATGAACAATCTCTACATGCAAAACGAATTTGAGACTCAATTCTGTCCACCCAGACCAAGAGACTGACTGACTGACTGGACCATGTCACATTGCCAGCTTGTAGCTGTAGCTGGGGCGGGTAGGTGGTCAGGCGTACAGCTCACTCGGTGGGCTGCAGTACGTAAAATTAATTAAAAAGGACGCATAGCGTTAGTCAAGGATTGTTGGCACAGACTGTGCCAGACACCGGCCACAGCGGACAGACTTTGGCACACAATGAATGGGCAAAAAGATGTCAACACTTTATTCAAGATGATGACGTCGTCGTCGCTGTCGTCATTGTCGTTGTTGTCGTTGTTGTCGTTGTTGTCGTTGTTGTCGTTGTCGTTGTGCTGTCCATTGTTGGCTGTCATTGTTTCATATTGCTCTTCTCATCGTCGGCGACGTCCTTCTGCTTCTGCTTCTGCTTCTACTGCTGCTGTTTATGAAGTGCCAGGATATCTGCACGTCGCCTTAGAACAGGGCGCATTGTTAATAATAGAATCTTGCTACTATTTTTGCTTGTTTCGCGTTACAAACTTCCAGCAACAGCAACGGCAACAACAACAACAACAACTACAAGCACTTATTCTTTATTTTGTTTCCACTTGAGTCTGCAGGG